TACTTCAGAGTTATGTGCCCTCTAGAAGCTTGTGTTCTGCAAGTGAACGAACGTCGCTTTATTGTTCATCCCAAAGAGGCACAAAATCACTTTCACAGACTTTTACATTAACTGTTCCCTCCTGGTGGAATGACCTGCCCAAATCAATCTGAGCAGCTCTATAATCGACTAAAAACACATCTCTTCCATCTTTATTTGACCCTCTAACTCTAGCACTCTCTATTCTAATTCTATTCTTAAAAAAAAATTTTTAGACTTGCACTCTATTCATTTACTAACTGCTTGTTTTCTTATAGCACTTGCATATCATTGCTCTTTTGTTGATTTTAATTGCTTCTATTGTCCTCATTTCTAAGTCGCTTTGGATAAAAGCGCCAGCTAAATGACTAAATGTAAATGTAAAAACGTGTGTATGCAGCCAGTAAGTGACAGAACTCAGACTCATCTTTTGACCAAACTTCACTTAAACAAATGATGGATTTGCCCCGCAAAATTATATCACTTTATTATCCACATGAGCCATTTGGTGCTTGGACCTTGATGTTTGCTGCTATATTTATTTATTTATGTGAAGTAATGTAATTTTATCATGCTCCATATACTTTTCCATCTCCATTAATGTTTTACCACAATGTTTAAATATCTTGCTAATTTATTAATCTGTTTTATGTTTTTTCCTCCCTATAGGTGAATGCTTCACTTGGAATGAACATTTTCAGTACTATAACCGCAGGCATTGCCATTATTTTAATTTCCCTGGATTTGGTTATAGGGCCATACTCTTACTGCTACGACTGTGATTATTTAGAAAGGAAGTATGAGGTATGTCATCAACTTTTATATTTGTCACATTTATGGAGTAATTACAGTAATATCACTGTGTGTTCAGCAGTACACAAGCCTTAATCTGCACTCATCTGTTCACTCTTCTTATCTGGCAGTTCACAAGTAGTTTATAGATCATTTACAACACAAGAAGGCGTTGAAATTATATGTTAATTGTAAACGCAGCCCAGTTTGACCTATAAGAGCCAGATTTACTAACAGCAAGTGCCAGCGCAAACCCTCTTTTGCCATTTAAAACTACTGTCAGGACTTACTAAAGACACGCAGCGAAACATCAGCAATGATAAGGACCGTTATTTTGGGGGCTGACCTTATTATATTTGCATTTGTAAGAGTTTGCCTTTTTAAATTTAAATAAATCACACAGTATTTGTGCCGAAATGTAATGCCCAAAAAGCATTTCTTAAACCAGACGTTAATTTGCACTGCTCTCTCCTTTCTTTTATTTTTTTGCGTTGGTTCGTTCGTTTGTTCGTATTCTCTTTTTCGTTGGTCATTACGGAAACGATGTTGCATCTGTGTTCTTTAATGAACTTTCCACTCTCACCATTGCTTTTATGGGATTGTGCTCTCAAGCTAATTTGCCCTGTTCAGTAAATCTGGCCCTAAGTATGTTATATTAACATATGAACCTCAAGGATGGTCGATTCTGGACTGCTGAGCATTCAGTGTACCAGTGTGAGTAGTAATTATCATTGATTTTGGTATGATTATTTGTATTAATGTTACATTTTCTCTCAGAATCTCTTCAGGGGAATCAGAGGTGTGTTGCTGTTATTCGCCTTGCTTGAGTTTATCATCTCCATCTGTCTGTCAGCATTTGCCTGTAAATCCAACACCTGCTGTGGTCCTCCTCAGGTGAGTAATGCACCAAATCAGGGGTTCCCAAACTGTTTTATTATATATATATATATATATCTATAGCTCCATTTAAAAAGGTAAAATCTAAAGCTGTATCTCAGCCCTGGATTAACACATAGAGAGTCGGTCAATCAGACAAAAATGGAGACAAGCAGAGAGGAAATGGAAAAAAGATAAGCTCCAAGTCTCGTATGAGATTCTTAGAGATTGTATGGTAACTTATCAACAGTTTATTAAATCGGCCAAGGCGCAGTATTTTTCTGACTTAATCTCAAAGAACCATAGCCCCCCCTCCGCATTGTCATGGACTTCTTTTGTTGTGTTTTATTTTAGTTTCTGTGGTCCTTTGATTAGTTCATTCTGTTCACCTGTGTTTGATTAGTTATCATTCTCACCTGTTTGTCCCTTGTTATCTCACCCTACTTAAGCTCCCCTTTTGCGATCAGTTAGCTGCCGGTTATTAGTTGTGTATGCTGCTTGTGTTACCCTGTGTTTTGTATGAATCTTCATCATCTTGGATTACTATTAAATGTTATTTGGATTACCTTTGTCTTTGGAGTTGAGTGAACTCAAACAAGGAGTTAAGCGGCGTGTTTTCCCCCATTTGTTTTTCGTATTTGAAAGTCTTTTATTTTTTTGTTATGGATCACCCCAACTTCCTCCTCCTCCTGCTGGAGCAGGAGGAACTTTCCCTTGAGGACCACATTGGATTATTCCTGGACATTTCCCACAGAACCAGCTAACGGGATGACGCGCTCTGCTCGTTCTACATTGTGAGCCTCAACACCGCGTTCAGAGCACAGTTGTCCGGGGAAGGCCCTTGAGGGAGCTTCGCCGCATTGTGGAGTGGGTGCTGGTGAGCAACGGATCCCCGTTCACTGTTGGCCACGCTGATGAGGAACTCACCAACCCCACTCCGGACCCAGAGCCCAACCAACCATCACCCCGCTGTGCAGAGCTTTTGCTAGAGCCCGCCGCGACCGAGCCATCGCCAGAGAGGGCGACAGAGCTGAGGATCGCCCCGGAGCCTCATGGATCGTCTGACCAGGTGCGAGAGCCGGCAACAACGCACGCGACGGTGGATGTAACAGTGGCGAGTGAGGGCACGGAGGAAAGCCCCGCCCACTGTACCACCGCTGAGGTCTGCCAGTCTCCATCGGCGTCATGGCTGGAGGATCTCTTATCTCCGCCTCCAGCCTCTGAGTCCTGGACTCCACCTCGGCCCATCGACCCAGCGGCTCCTAGCTCCCTCCTCTCAGCCGTGGCCCATCAGTCCACAAGCTCCGCCAGTCTTCCCCATCCATCCGGCTCCGTTTTGGTCAGTCGTTTACCCGCCATCGCCTCAGGACTCCACTCCTCCGGCTGCGCCTTGTCGATCCGTCCCACTGGCTCCGTTGGGCTCATCTCTCCCTCCATCTCCACCTTGGTCCTCTGTCGCTTTGGCTCAACCACGGCCTTCCGGATCCCCACCTTCGCCTCGGTCGCCTGAGCCATCAAAAAAAAAGATTTCTTTATGCTTTTTACTTTTTTAATTTTAGTCAGTGTGTATGTTTGGGCATAAAAAAGATCTACAAAGTTACAAATCTCAGGGTGCTTTCACACCTGGCCCGTTGTTTCGGAATCTGGCGCGTTTCCCCCCTTAGCTCGGTTCTTTGGGCATATGTGAACACGGCAATCGGGCTCGGATCCGCGCCAAAACAATCGGTCCGAGATCGCCTGAACGAGATGGTCTCAGCTCGATTCAAAACGAACTCTGGAGCGGTTCGGTTGTAGTGAGAAAGCAATCCGATCTAACCGACCAACGAACCAGGCTCTATCACAATTTATGATGGGTAATTACGTAAGTTCCGTGAAAAGCATTTTAGTGCAGAGCTACAAAGTTAGTGCATCAGAGAATACGAAGAAGAGGAGATGCAGTAGCATCATGTTTTCGCCATGTCTAAGAAACGCTGTTTTTTTTCATAAATTGCTGACAGTAAAATACTGGACAATTATGTAATTTGCAGAATTTACACTTCAATTATGAGACTATAACATGAATTGCAGTGAAACTCAAATCATAATTAAAGAATTAAAGAACAATAAACATAATACATAATACCGTTGCACTTATCTGTACTTATTTTTAAGCGGTTGATGACATCGTATCTAAAACGTGATTTGTAACGAGAGGGGCGGGGCCGAGAGCCTTGGGAGCAGAGCGAGGCCGGTGGAGTACCTGCACCACTCACCGGTCTCGAGTCCCACGGAGGAGCTCCAGAAGGATAAGAGGAGTGACGACAGTGAAGGACGAGGGAGGACCGGGCCTGGATTTTATGTTGTTGTTTGTAACAAAGTTCGTAGGTCGGAAAGAAGGAGGCGAGAACCGGCGAACATTTAAACACAAAACTTTAGTAAGCAAATGAACAAACACAAAACGAAAGAAAAAAGCGGCAGCCCCTCACAGACGACTGCCACATAAAACAACAACATAAATAGTCCAGGCCTGGTCCTGTCTCGTCTTGCACTGTCGTCACTCCTCCTTTTATACAATAACGTTACCACTCTAATACGTCTTGCAATATCCGTGCGTGCAAAGGTTCTACTAATCGAGCTGTTTGTGCCTGGCTGGGGAGAAAGGTACTTTAATAATGTAAATTATGTGAAAAATTATGCGTTTTTCGAAACACCAAGCATGAGAGCATGTTCTAGTACTCTTCCAAAACAAAATCAAGACTTTGTAAAAGAGCATAATAGTACATTTTATGCATGTTTGTAGTTCTAATCAAATCTTCATCCAACGTGCAGTATTTTGTGGGTAATTTTAACCGTTAATATATGCACAGATCTGCACTGGAAATAGTAAACCATCCGGGTACCTTTGGGATACTCATTTCAACATACTACGATTTGGGACGCACTAATTCTAATTTCTAATTCCTGTAACACTGAAAATGTCTGCCAGTGTTTTTGCATGTTTTATGCCTTCTTGCTGAGAGATGCCATACATTACATGTGTATTTTTTTTTCCCCAAAGGTGCAGTTTGCTCAAGTTTTACCACCACAGCCAAGTGATTTCCACGATCTCAACAGCTCAGAGGTAAGAAAAGCTTGAACCCCAGTTTAATTTGACTTGTAAAATGGCATAAACAGCATTCTTTGAATTTAGGGTTGATTGTCCATGTACTGGAAATGTGTAAAGCACTCAGTAATGGGTGCAATAATGGTTACATGATATTATCAATAAAAAAAGCAATCAATATGTTGATCGTATAGCTTTTTGTTTTCTTGCAGATACCTGTGGCCAGCAGCGCTTCCATTCATCACCATCCTGCAGACGCTCCTCCACAATACAGCAAATTCAAATAAACATGAATAAGTGGACAGTGTTCCCTTATGAAACAAAAATATATGGGAATGTATTGTAAAATATAATGCAATATATTAAATAATACATTTCCATATATGGGAAACCAGTGCTTATATTTTTCAGTATACTGCAATGGCTGTATATTGATGCATATAAAATAATACTCTACCTAACTGCACTACATTTTTACATGTAATTGCTTTATTGAAACACTTGATTGTGTTTGTATACACACAAAATGTAAAATGTTTTATCACATGTATATCTATATGTTATGAAGAATATTATTGAATACATACAGTGAGCGCATAATAAAAACACACAGCATCGTCTATTAGTTTCAATCTTTCTGAAAATCCCGTGTCGAATTGTGGCTTGTTTGTTAACAAATCCGCGGTAAAAAATTAAGTGGACAAAGGACCGAGTTCTTTCTGACATGGCCTGGAACTAAATTAAAAATAAACGTTTATCCACTCTTTCCTAATGCTGGGATCAGAAGGAAGGCGATGTAAATTTCCACAACTTGGCACTGCACAGCGTCTTGTTGTCTTCTGAGCATCTTTATCGTTGGATTTCAGCGTAGACCTGCATTTGCCTCTCTCGTTATTTTCACTACATGCGTAAATCGGTGAGCGGGGCTAAACAGGCAGTGATGTAGAATCGGTGGGCGGGGCTAAACAGGCAGTGATAGAGAAGCAGGCGTTGATCTTCTGCGGAGGCGGAGTTTAGCAACACTATTACGTCATACAGTGTCAAATTCCACAACCTGTCGTTTTGGCAGACTGGCTTCAATTTAAGCTGTTTTTAGACTAACGAGATAGTTTTGAGTTCTGAAACTTACAGGATGTTTTCATAGTACAATGACCTCTTATTTGTCAAAATATCAAGGGAATTTTGATTTCTCAGTTCACGACCCCTTTAAAACAATAAACTTGTACAACGGGTGGTTTTACCTCTTCGTGGCATTTCTGAACAGTCAGCCTAAAGCCCTTGAAGAAAGACATTTTTCAAAAACCCAACCAAAACCAAAAGGTAGCTGGTAGCAGTGCCGATCCTCCCTATACGCAAACTACGCATGTTGCGTAACACCAGGGGGCCCCCTTGCTCTCAAATCAAAAGTTCTTGATCTCAGAACTTCTAACTTTGCTAAAATCATAACACTAATATACAGTAAATAATATATACTTTTTTGTTGTTGTTGTTTTTCTGATGGATGTACTTCTAGAGCTAGTTTCTAATAAACTTGTAATTGGATCTGGTAATTATTAACTGAACTGTTCACTATTACTAAGTAAAGATGAAGGGTAACAACTGAATATGCTCACATATTTTTGCCAATGGAAGAAACTGAAAAGGAAAGGCTTCAATCAATGAACCATGTTCCTTTATACTGCAAAAACTGTATTTTAAACAAAATTGCTCATATAAAAGATCATTACCACTGAAATCAATAAGATATCCTTTCCATCCAGTCCTTATAAAAGACAGATCTGCTCATTTTCAGTGTGTATCCGTTATTCATAGAGGGCTGATATAGGGAGGAAAATGATTTTGGTAGATCAATATTTCCAAGAATTGAAATCTGAGAGCTTAACATTTAACTTGTTTATTAAATTATATACTGAACATTTTAATTAAGATAATCTGGGGAAATGAAAATCACATTTCATTTACATTTAGAAGCAGCATCCCCTCTGTAACACCCCCTCCCTCCCTTAGATTAATAATGTTGTGTATTATGTAAAACTTATCATGCAAATTAAATGTTAAAATTCGCTATTTGTATAATTTACGAACTAAATAACAGCGATTGGCCAATCAGACCTCGGTACTGTAACAAGCTGCGCACAAGCTTGAGCAACTTTGTAATTTTTCGTGCAAAATGGCCGGCTGGCGGGCTTGCAGCAACCACATGTGACGACCCCGGGCTGGACTCCGCTTCGTCCACGGTGAAAGCCGATCCGGCATGGACATTCACACGGGAGAGAAGCCGTTCACATGTGCTCAGTGTGTTTTAGATGTTGTCAGTATGGACTGAGTTTCACAGGCAGTAATAATAACTGGAGAGAAGTGTGCCATCACTAGCTACGTTTTCCCAGATAATCCACTAGTAATCTGAAAAGCCGTCATGTAAACACCTCAGATCAGTCTGACTGAGCTCGACCCAAATGAAATTTCGATTGGACTGAAGGGGTGGAGTAGACCTGATCAGTACACAACAAAACCATTAATGTTATTTTTCCAGTGTACAATACACAATGTTGGTGTTATTTTAAAATTATAAGTTAATAAAAATAGCACTGCTGGTGTTATCGATAAAGTTGGTGACAGTTAAATCACCGTGTTAAATTTTTTTATTTTTAAATAAACCCAAACTGGTGTAAATCACTGCAGCCCCTCTATGTATTGCTCATTGCACTTGTGTTTAACAGAACCGTAATTTACTCTTACAAGATGATGACAATGAAAGATCAGTTAAAACTGTTTTCACATTGACTTGCTTCATGAAATCTGGGAGGGACTGTAGTTATTTTCAAGAGATTGGAAAATATAAAAAATAAAGTCATGGTGGAAAGCACTTGAGTGGTGGGATATATATTTTACATTGGTTTATAACCCGCCATTGAACAAAAGAACGTTGACGTTTGTTGGTTAACATTTATTTCAATTATATGTACTTTTACATTACATGAACCTTATTTTAGATAATAATATTAGTAACAGCGACACTCACAATGACTTTATATTGTAATTATACATACCTCCGCGCCAGCTTTGTGGTTTCATCGATGGCATATTACTAGGCCTAATTAGCTTTGTAATGCTTAATACGTTCATAATAATTACAATTATATTAATATAGCTGCAAGCAGCAATGGGGTTCAAGCACATTAAGGGCTTTAAGGTGGTATATTTTAGGGTCTAGGCCAACCTGGATGTATGGCTGACAGTAAAACACATCCAATATGGAGAATATGCTCACAGACACACACATACAAAATGGTAAACTTTGACTCAATGTGATTTTAAATGTTATAACAGTGATTTTATAATGTCTTAGCATGAATCCATAAGTAAACTTATAAACAGTACTGTTTCAGGGCATTTAATGAGCCCATTAGTGGTCTTCCGCTGCCATCTAGTGGTTATAATTGCAATTTCTCATACAACACTGTGTTTTTAACCTTTATAACTATTATAGTGTTATTTTTTGCCCAATCTCTCTTAAATTTGGCATGCTTGTTTAAAATGAAATTATGCATCATTTTACACAGTTTTGAGAGATATTGTGGGCTTTCTTTTAGTATTAATAGGCCTTTGGGTTCACTATGTAAAGAACATATTATAAAATGACTGGTTTATAGTTATATAACATTTTTTTTGATAATTATTGACCTAGAGAGTCTAGAGAATAGTACTGCACTGATTTTATTGATTTTCAGGTAAAAACTGAGGACCAGTTCTCAAAAGTAGGTTTTTTAAATGATCTCAAATACTTAAAGAACAGTTTGATTGACAGCAGTGATCCTAGAGGTAAAGTTGTTCAGAATAATGAGATCTATCACATGATATGAAGATATAGTGTATAAGTGAATATGTGGACATTTGATTGCAATTTGAGTCATTTACTATATTTGGTCATTTACTATAGGAATACTGTTTTTTTTTCAGGCTGTTTTAACTGTTAGAGCGCCACCTATGGTCAGATTTGTATGAAACTTTGCATGCTTGTTAAGTGTCTTCTGTCATATGTTTTCAGTAAGTTTGATCAAGTTTTGAGTTTTCGTTTAGGTTTTATAGGCTTTTGGGTATATTTTGTTACACACCTTTTAAAATGACCCCATTATATCTAACCAAAGGACAAAATTCAATTGATAATTATTGATCTACAGAGTCCAGACAATATTACTGCAGTGGTTTGATCGAGATTGAGTGAAAAATTTAGGATTAGGACTTAAAATGAGACCATGCTTACGTTTCTGTGAGTTTGTATGGCCAAACGACAGTGTAATGTGTCTCAGATGTGCCAATCAAAAGATGCGATGCAGTTGAATGGTGTTTTTTCAACTAGTTTTGACTTAGTGTTGATGGGCAAAAATGTCATCGACGTCATATGTCTGAAAAACCCACTATTAGAGATGTGTAAACAGATATCGATCAAATTCCTAAGTTTACCGTATTATAATATTTATTAATTATTCCACTTATGTATTGAAATTTAAAGTGTTTTGTGTAAAATTAGATAATTTTTATCAATTTAGTCCAATGTATGTGGCTTAAATTTGTATGCTTGATCTTGCAGAAATGGAAAAATGGAGAGCCCTAGAGGTCAATTTGCCTACCTTCAATTTAATCTCAATAATAAAAAAATAATGATATAAAGAAAATAGTTTATTTCCCTGTTTTCTGCCACGAAGTGAAATTAAAAGACAATTTCTCTGGAGGAAGGGGGTGGCAAATAGATCTTAAATAACAGACTTTAAAATAAAAACAAGTAAATTTGTGTTATCATATAATTATGAAAATGCAATAAAAATATTAGTTATTTCACCCATGTGTTAAAATGTATGGTGTTTTCTATTAAATGAGACCATTTTATTAATTTACTGTAATATATGTGAGTAGGGTATTATTTTAAATTCAGGTATGCCAAAATCAAGTAAAATTTGCTATAGAGGTTTAGAGGTTACGTTTTTTGAAAGTTGATTGTTCAATAATGTTTTTGTTTTACAGTTGAAGTATTGTTTTCATCAAAGGTAACAGGACATTGGACAAAGACATGGAAAACTTAGTTATGAACAACTGCTTTATTAGTACAATTTTTACAGTAAGTATGGAAGTTTACAACAAAATAAAGTTAAGAAAAAATAAAGAATATGTGTATCAAAAAAAAAAAAGGAATTTTTATGTCTTTTTCATTAGTAAAGAAATTTGTTTAACAATTTTAGCCAATATTAACTTTAACAATATTAAGGCAACATCGTTTACGTTGTAGAACAAATAAACAGAATTTGAGTTAGAAAAGTGTCAATTCTTAACAATATATAA